CCCCGCTCCCCATAATAGGCCCCGGTGGTGTGAGTTCCCTTCCTGGTCCAGTGATTCTCATTGTTCGTTCCCACCCTTATGAGTGGACATGTTGGTGTTTGTTTTCTGTTCTTGTGATGTTCTTGCTAGAAATGATGGTTTCCAGCTGCTCACATGTCTACAAAGAGGAACAAAACTGCTCCTATTTTTTTGGCTGCATAGTATTCCATGGTGCTATATGTGACACACTTTCTTAATCCAATCTGTCACTGATGGACATTTGGCGTTGATCCAGTCTTTGCTTTGTGCAATAGGCGCAAATAAACATACGTGTGCATGTGTCTTTATTAGCAGCATAATTTTAATCCTTTGGGTATATACCCAGTAATGGATGGCTGGCGTATATGGTACATCTAGTTCTAGATCCTTGAGGAATCGCCATACTGTTTTCCATAATGGGTTGAACGAGTTTACAATCCCACCAACCAGTGTAAAAGTGTTGCCTATTTCTCCACATCCTCTCTCCAGCACCTGTTGTTTCCTGACTTTTAATGATCGCCATCTAACTGGTGTGGACGATGGTATTCTCATGTGTGGTTGTTGATTTGCATTTCTCTGATGTGCCAGTGATGGATGAGCATTTTTTCATGTGGTCTGTTGGCTGTATGAATGTCTTCTTTTGAGAAATGTCTGTTCATATCCTTTGCCCACTTTTTGATGGGGTTGTTTGTTTTTTTCTTGTAAATTTCACAAGGATTCTTAAAAGTAGAAGAGAGAAGCAGAAGAGGAGGTCAGCATAATAGGATATAAGAAGAACCACTGTTGCTAGCTTAAGATGGAGGAAGAAGGCCTTGAAGCAAGGAATATGAGGTGGCTACTAGAAGTTGGAAAGGGCAAGGAAACAGATTCTTTTTTAGAAAAAGGAATACAGGCTGGGGGCGGTGGCTCACGACTGTAATCCCAGCAATTTGGGAGGCTGAGGTGGGTGGATCAGAAGGTCAGGAGATCGAGACTGTACTGGCCAAGATGGTGAAACCCCGTATCTACTAAAAATACAACAATTAGCTGGTCATGGTAAAGTTCCATGGTGGTGTGTGCCTGTAATCCCAGCTACTCAGGGGACTGAGGCAGGAGAATCAGTTGAACCAGGGAGTCGGAGGTTGCAGTGAGCCAAGATGGTGCCACTGCACTCCAGCCTGACAACTAGAGCTAGACTCCGTCTGAAAAAAAAAAAAAAAAGAAAAAGAAAAGGAAAAAGGAATGCAGACCTGCCAAACCCCTGATTTTAGCCCAATGAGACCCATTGCAGACTTCTGAACTACAAAACTGTAATATAAGTTTGTGTGTTTTAAGCTACTAAGTTTGTGGTAATTTGTTAAAGCAACCGTAGAAAACTGAAAACTGCTCATAAATTGGGCATAAAATAATTTATTCTGGTAAATTATATATTAATGAATTGGAATCATATTTTTAGTTTCTTTGCAATCTTGTACTAAGGAACAGTCTTTGGGCAATTATTGTGTCTGTTATCAGGCTTAGGATGGACTCTGCACAAAAGGCCTGGCCATAGTTTATTACACACAGTGTCTTACTCATTTTTATATCCCCATCACTTAGTACAATGACTGCCGCAGAGTAGAAGCACAGTAACAGTTTGGGGGATAAATGAATACATTTGTAGTGATTAGATCTAGACCCAGGGATTGCTACTGGTTATGTATTACCAATTTATGTTCATCATCTTTCATGTGATAAAAGTGGAGTGCTTGACTAAAGAAATAGGTTTGGATATTTAATGTCCATTGGCCTCACCTGGAGGGCTTGGTGAACCAGATTGCTGGGCTTCACTCTCAGAATTTATGATTCATAGGTTTGGGTTGAGCCTGGAAATTTGCATTTCTAACAAGTTCCTGGGTTAGGGTGATGTTGCTATTCTGGGGACCACACTTTGGGGCATTTTACGCCTCTGTCCCTCTCAGATGTCTTCTCAGGGGACAAACTAGCTCTGCATGTTCTCCAAGAACTATCTGCTTTTCTTTTTGTAGCCAACCACTGCATCCTTAGGGGTTATACTCTACAGGCCTGGCTAACATATTTAGTAGTTTTCCTAAGCTTCGTTCTTCCAATCCCCAGCCTTGTTGCCTCAGAAAATGATGGTTCACTTAGTTCCTCTGATTGTAAGAGTAATACAGGACAATAAAATCAAACATTAAAAAAATCTAAAAAATGAAATGGAGAAGTTTAAAATATGACAAATTCTTTTCAATTTTTCTATTATTGACAGGAACTTGTAATTTCTCACTCCATTCTGAGGTGGTTACTCTCTTGGGAATTACCCTCAACACATACTGCTCCCATAAAAATACTTTCAACATACATATATTACTGTACTTACCATACTATTTTGTAATTTTTGTTTATCTTGTCCACTAGATCGAGTTCATCTTCTGTCTTTGTCTCTTACTTACAGTAGTACCTACCAGTTTATGTGTGATGGATAATGTAGAATGAAGGAACAAATGAATAACCAAATGAACTCTAGTGTTTTACTTTTATTTCTAAGAGACAGGCTCATCAACTTTTCCAACCCCTTCTAAATCTGGAGAGGCAGAGTGATCAGTGCCTATTTGCTTCAAAGGGATAAATTGAAGTTCTGAAGACTTCGTTCTAGGTGACACTCGTTCAACTAAATCACCTATCATGCCCTCCAAACTCACCAAATGAATACATTTGAAAATTTCTTTTTTTTTTTTTTTGAGAGGGAGTCTTGCTTTGTCGCCCAGGCTGGAGTGCAGTGGTGCGATCTCGGCTCACTGCAAGCTCCGCCTCCCGGGTTCACGCCATTCTCCTGCCTCAGCCTCCTGAGTAGCTGGGACTACAGGCGCCCACCACCATGCCCGGCTAAGTTTTTGTATTTTTAGTAGAGACAGGGTTTCACTGTGTTTAGCTGGGATGGTCTCGATCTACTGACCTCGTGATCCTCCCGCCTCGGCCTCCCAAAGTGCAGGGATTACAGGCATGAGCCACCGCGCCCGGCCAAAAATTTCTTGAAACGTTATCTCCGTGGTGGGGCGCGGTGGCTCACGCCTGTGGCGGGCCTGGTAGTACCAGCTACTCAGGAGGCTGAGGCAGGAGAATGGCGTGAACCTGGGAGGCGGAGCTTGCAGTGAGCTGAGATCGCGCCACTGCACTCCAGCCTGGGCAACAGAGTGAGACTCCGTCTCAAAAAAAAAAGAAAAGAAAAAAGAAATCTCCGTTTTTGCTTACGTGATTGACCTCTTATTTGGCTATGTTCTTGTCAGTCACTTGTACAACTTTTTTTTTTTTCTCTCTCTGGAAACTTACAGGATCTTCTGTTCATTGCCATTGTTTGAAATTTTCTGGTAATTAACTTTGGTGTGGTTCTTATGTATTGTTTTTGGCACTCTCGTGGCCCTTTCAATTTGAAATGTTGATGTTTTTAAAAATTATGTAGTTTTTTTTTTTTAATGAAAAAGACAGTAAATGCACATGGTAAAAAAAACAGTCAACCAATATGCAAAGATATATAATGAAAGGAAATCTCTCTTACAACAGTCTTCTCCCCAGAGACAATAGACTCTCTCCTTATATTCTCCTTGATGCTAATTATTAAAAGGAGCTCTTTGGAAGTTGTTGAGAATACCCTATCTCATTATATGATCATGGTAGTATACATAGATATTTTTAAAACAATGCTGGATTTTGTTGCTGGTTTAATACTGTCTCTCTGCTTATTTAATTTTGGCACTGTATTGCATATTATTTAAAGTAACTTAACCAAACTGCTAGGGGAGTAGTACTGCTACTAGAGCATTAACTTGATGTTAATACTTTCCTTGATGTCCTTTCATTTCTGTTTGATATTCTGTCATTTATTCTGTGCTACTTCTGTGAATAAAGTGTTCATATGATACTTGCATGAGAAACAATAATAGCTTTATCATTATTGGCTAATGAATAACTGATGAGCTCAATGCAAGAGGAATATACTTAGTAATATTCAACAGATGTTTATTGAATGCCTACTGGGCTGAAGCAAGATCAGTTATACCACTAATTTTTTGTTTTCTTTTGGCATGCCTTCTGCTCTTATGTGTTAATGCTGGGACTGTTTCATTGTTTTCACATTGTTGAAAAGTGATAGTCTTATTTTACTTCTCTATTGTTCAAGTCTTTTTTGCAAAAATAACACAAAGCTATTTCTTTTAAAATGTGTATTTTAAAAAATATAATACCATAAACAGTCTCTGGAGATTAGTAAGGTGGTTGATGGTGTGTGAATGTGTGAGTATGCAGCATGTTAGGAAAATATCTATAAAAACTAAAGTATGCATTTGCGAAGAAAAAAGTCTTAACATGTAAAATGTACCGGAGACTTACCCAATTATGCAGATTGTCAAATTTTAAGTGATTGAGGATAATCAATTTTGTTGTCTCCTAAACTGAAAAGCCTATGCTTATTTGGTAGACATTTTGGGGGAAATAATGGTTTTCCTTCATTAATAAATTTCTTCTAGTGGACCATATTATTTTCCTTAAGAGGAAGGATTGCTTGTTATTTGTTTCTTCTATAGAACCATAGTTATTCTATGAAGGTTCTTTCTTACTGCTAAATTTCCTTTCGGTGGGATTCATTAAACAGTTTTGAAGCCATGCTACGGTAACTTTATTTTCTATTAATTAAATATTAAATTCCAGATTGAGATTTGAGCCATTGGAAATAAAGCATATGACTAATGGCATTCTCACCAATAATATCTAGAAATCACATACACTGCTTTAATATATTATCAAGAATTTTAACAATGACTCTATAGTATTAACATTGGCTTCATATAACTTTTCTTTTACTAGATGATGGACCTAGCCAAAGTGAATCTGCTGCTGAGACTGCCATGACACTACCAAGTGAATCCAGAGTCAATATACATGCCATCGTTACATTAAAAATATTGGACTATAGGTATGTAATTTATTATTATTATTTTTATTGTAGAGATAGGGTCTCACTGTGTTGCCCAGGCTGGACTTGAGCTTCTTGGGCTCAAGCCATTCTCCTGTTTTAGCCTCCCAAAGTGCTAGGATTATAGGCTTGTGCTACCATGCTTGGCCTAATTTATTATTATTTTTAAACACTACCAAACACATAGGAAAGTTTTCAGAAAGAAATCCTTCAGAAAAAAGGACAATTGATGAGGAAAAATTCATCAGAGTGCTTGACTTAGAATAATAGTAATTGCAAAAAACCATGATGAAATAGAAGGATATTAAAAGTATAGTAAAAATAGAAGGATATTAAAAGTATAAATGACCTTCAGTGTCCTTTCCTTCTGCAGTTTGTGTTTTACTATGCTTGAGAGAGAGATGGTTTTGTTAATAGTGATATTTTTATAATGGGTATTATAAAAAAAAAAGAATGACCATATTGATAATAAAGTTCTCTGACTCAGTAACCAGCATCCAGAGAGAATTTCATATTGGTGGGTGTCTATGTTAGTAAGTAAGAAACTAGAATCATTTGGTTAATGAAAACCTTGACCAGCAGGCAAAGCTTGAGCGGTTGTTCCCTGCTAATTTATCTGAACATAAGTCAAATAATGTATCATAGTAATAATGTGCTATGGTAGCAAATATTCCAAAACTGAAAAAATTACAAGTTAGTATATAAATTGAGACAAAGCCAAAAAATTTTAAATATTTTTTATGGAAGTATATTAAATTGGGAAAAGAAGATACCTATGCAGAAATTGAAGGTAGTTGTCAGGTATCCTTTCAGTACTGTCTAAGGCAACAACAACAAAAACATAAGCAATACTGTCAAAATTTTTGTAGCAATTGGTTCATTTATGGGTATTGTAGTGAAAATACAAAAGAATATATACTAAAGTCAGATAAGTGACTAGATTTATTCAAGAATCTACACAGCCAACATCAGTGTATGGTCTTTTATCCTTAATGTATCAGTAGGAACTATCTTCTTAGCAGTCAGGATACAGTCTCCATTTCACATTTGTTGTGTTTCATTTATATTGTTCTCACCTCTTGCCTGCCACTCTTAGAAATCACTACTCTAAGCTAAATTTCTTTTGCCACACTAACACAGGTAGCACTCTTCTGTACTTACATTTGACTCCTTCTTACAGAGCATGGCAACTTAGCCTTTTTTTTTTTTTTTTTTTTTTTGAGGCAGGGTCTTGCTCTGTTGCCCAGGCTGGAGTACAGTGGCGTTATCTCGGCTCACTGTAACCTCCACCTCCTGGCTCAAGCGATCCCCCCACCTCAGCCTCCCAAGTAGCTGCAACTGCTGCACGCTATCATGCCCAGCTAATTTTTTAATTTTTTGTAGAGATGGGGCCTCTCTATGTTACCCAGGCTGTTCTTGAACTCCTGAGCTCACGTGATCCTCCTGCCTTAGCTTCTCAAAGTGCTGGGATTACAGGCATGAGCCACCATGCCTGGCCAATTTAGCATATCTTATCTTCCAAATAATACACCCATTTATTCAGTATTTTTGGAGTCTACTAAGTATCAAATTCTGTGCTAGGTATCATAAATAAACTGATTGATGAGACAGACTTCAGTCCTGCCTTAGACTTTTTTAGCTTAGAATTTCTTTTATGCCTGGCTTCTGCCTTCCATTCCCTCCTATAGAGATATCATTTATTGAGTCTCTATTCTAAGGGGACCTAGGGTGTTGTACTAGGTACATATACTGTTGCTTTTAATCATGCAGACAATCTATAAAGTAGTATTGGTCCAATTTTATTTGGGATAACCATTTCTACTTCTTAAAGGCACAGATATCACAAAAGCATAATCTTAGGTTGCTTTGATTCTAAATGTATTGGAATTTGTTTTTCTTAAAGACTTTAACAGGAAAGGAGTATCCTATTTAAAATATAAATTCTCAATCTCAAGGCATAAATTCTTTCAACTAAAATTTTTAAATAGCATGAATCTTTTAAGTCTGACTAGCATGAATCAGTTCCCCATGAACTTGAGCATTTGTGATTGAAGAGATGAAAATGCTGCATCTACGCAGAAGAAATTCTAAAGCAGAAGTAGAAGACATAATAACTGTGAAATGTAGGCTGTCTTTTCACATATTTGTATTACAACGCGTTTCTTATACAATTCTTCCATATTATATATTATATGTGATGTTTTTTCTGTTCATACAGTCATTCATTTGGCATTCTGTTGAAGTTTCTTGTAGGTGGATGACATTGTGTTAAGCACTAATAATTTTTTTTTTTTTTTTTTTGAGATGGAGTCTCGTCCTATCGCCCAGGCTGGAATGTAGTGGAGCAATCTTGGCTCACTGCAAGTTCCGCCTCCCGGGTTCACGCCATTCTCCTGCCTCAGCCTCCTGAGTAGCTGGGACTACAGGCACCCGCCACAGAGCCCGGCTAATTTTTTGTATTTTTAGTAGAGACGGGGTTTTGATCTCCTGACCTTGTGATCCGCCCGCCTCGGCCTCCCAAAGTGCTGGGATTACAGGCGTGAGCCACCATGCCCGGCCAAGCACTAATAATTTTAAAAGAAGAATGTAAGGATAATGGCTAATTATAACATTAAAAAAAAAAAACAGTTAAATCTGCAAATGTTAGAGTTCTAAATAGTAGTCCTGCTTATCCACAGTTTCACTTTCTGCAATTTGGGTTACTTGTGATCAGCTGCAGTCCGAAAATATTAAATGGAAAATTCCAGATGTAAACAATTTATAAGTTTTAAATTGCGCACATTCTGAGTAGCATCATGGAATTTTATGCCATCCCTCTCCGAGTTGCCCAGGACATGAATCATCCCTTTGTCAGCATATCCATGCTGTATATGCTACCCATCCTTAGTCACTTAGTAGTCATCTTGTTATCAGATTGAAAAAAATATGGTATATACTATATAGGATTTGGTCCTCTCAGAAGATTCTGGCATCCCCGGGGGGTCTGGATAAAGGGGAACTACTGTATTTTCATTTAAGATTAAATTTGTATTTTATTGAAAACGTTACTGAAAATTTTAATAAAATGGAAATTTATTTATATTTACATTTGAAAACATGTGGCATAAATAACAATAAATAGTCCTTCAGATTCTAATGTCACAGAACTGAGATACAGGGGAGGTAAGTTACAAAGCTCATTAATGGTAGAAATAGGAATAGTTTAATCTCAGTCCTCTGCTCTGTCTACCTTGTCACATACTAAAGGAGAGAGAAATTGGTTTAGGTTACTAAACTAAAACTAATTTTAAACTTATTAGACTAATTTTATTTTAGTATAATGTTGAACTTTTAAAAATAATTATTATCTTGCAGAAATTATATACCCAAACAAATTTGACAGAAAACTCCTTTTATAGATTTTTAAGATGGGGCAACAACTAGGTTTTAAAATTATAGACTTAATTCTACTTAGAGGTAAAGGAATGGGCTCCATTTACTATATGACTTGTAGATATCTTAGACTCCGAAGATAAATATCTATTTTTGTTCACATTGAGTATATGAATGCCCAGAAAATGTGGCACAATATGTTCTAACACAATATGTTGTCTGAATTCTTAACAGTGAACCTTTTATGGCTTGGTAGATTATGTGGCATTTATTACAAAATTTTATAATCAATGGCTTTGAAAAATTTCATAAAATCTTTAAATACCTTTAAAAATGAAGAGTAATAATCCTATCTTTTTTGACTGCTAAGAATGGTTCGTTTTTTAAAACCATTTTTCATTTAGTGATAAACAAGCAACTTTGATTCCTGATGAGGTGTTTAACGCAGTAAAAAGCAACATCATCACTTCTATTAACTTCAGTAAGAATCAACTATGTGAAATTCCAAAAAGGTAAGAACTATTTATGATGTCATGTCTATAGGTTGTGACTCATTCTGTTGTTTTTCCATCTTGATTGCAATCAAAATTATTTTTATTGGTTTTTAAATTTAAAACTATATGTAAAAATTTTTACATTATTAATATTAGAGGGATTTAGCAAAATGTCATTAAATATTCACTCACACAATTTTATCATTTGTTCTGAGAGGTATAGAGGTTTTACAAAGTTTTGTTTCTTTTTCTTTTATATTTAAACTTGGAAAATGGGTATAAGAATTATTAAAAACATTGTTATTTTTCCCATATAATGAAATATAGGGAAAATATATATATATAGCACCATACAATGAAATGAAGTATTAGGGAAAAGTATTAAAAGACTGTCTAACATCAGGTCCATATGGATTAATAGGAATTTCCATTTGGGGCTTTATGTTAATAAAGCCTAGAATTTTTCCACTGATAAGAAAAGCAAAATTAACTGAAGCCTGTTAATATTTTTCTCCTAGAAAAGGATTCTTCACATGCAGTCATTTGCTTTATACTTTGTACTGTTTAATACTTTTTTGTTGTTAATTATAGCAAAATCTTTAGATTATGAGAAACAATTAATTTAGTATATTGTTGAACTTTAAAAAACATTTGTTATCTAGCAGTAAACTATATACCCAAAGAAAGCTGACAGATAATCTAGCAGTTAAAACAACCAGTGTGAGACAGGATAGGATACTGATAAGGAACTTGAGCAATAGAGTCAATTGCTTATACCATATGCCAGACCTGCTGTGTAGTTTTTGGACAGGTTAACTAGCTGTTCTTAGTTTTCTCACCTGTGAAATAGGGATAATAATGGTGCCTATTTATAAGAATTAAACTAAATGACATAATCCACACAAAGCATTCAGCTAGAGCCTAATGCTTTTATGCACGTAAATACTTAAAAGGAAAAAAAAAGGTGATGTCGTGGAGGAGAGTGATGTGATAAATTGAGGAAGGTGAATGACTTTCATCTGACTATCATAATTTTTTTTAGATGTTTAAAACTTTTAAAAAATGAGACAAGCTATAATTTGCTTTCTATTTCACAGAGCATAGTTTAGGGAATGTAGATCTTAAAAGATGACAAATTTAAGATAGTCCATGGCAGAAGGGATCTCTAGTCTGTCTTCTCGTTCTCTCTTGTTTTAAAGGACTGAGAGGATATTTGATAGAATCGAGCATTTAGATTTGCTCTCAGATAGGACAGGTTTGCTTTTGGGGGGGTCCTGGAATAAATAAGTTAATTGGGAATAAAGATAGACTTAAGAGACATTAGTTATTATTTACTGCCTCATTTTATCTATCTGACTCTTTTGCAAAACAATGTCATTCTGTTGACATAGCTATTGTATCACATTTTGAGCAACTTAGAATGTCAAGAAAATAATCAAGACATGCCTTATTACGGGGACATGTTGCTTTAAAAAAGCCATGCTTTTCTCTAGAAAGTTCCCAAACCACTTACCCTTTGTAAAAAAATTTTAATTAACAATTCATACTTTTCACCAAAGATTATAAAAATAATACATATTCATAAAATTTTGGGATAAAGGAATATATCAGTTGTAGTTTCATCACTGATTTACTCTGTTAACTTTGTGGCATACTGCGTATTTTATTTCAAGCTATTCTCTATTTGGAGTCATACATGCAATTTATATCTTTTTTTTTTTTTTTTTTGAGACAGGATCTCACTACCCTGACTGGAGTTCACTGGCACAATCACGGCTCAGTGCAGCCTTAACCTCTCAGGCTAAAGTGATCCTCCCACCTCAGCCTCCCTAGTGGCTGGGACTACAGGCATATGCCACCGCAGCCTGCTAATTTTTGTAGAGACCAGGTTTTGCCATGTTGCCCAGGCTAGTCTCAAACTCTTGAGCTCAACTGATCCACCTGCCTTGGCCTCCCAAAGTGCTAGGATTACAGGTGTGAGCCACCGTGCTTGGCCATAATTTGTATCTTGACTGATTTATTTGTCATAAGTATTTTTCTGTTTATAAACAATACTTTAAAAATGTAATTTAACTATATACTATAAGGTTGATTATGACAATAAAGGAAACATTGTTTTTCTAGGCCAGATTTCCAGAAAAATTATTAAGTCAGAGTTTGACTCTTGATATATCAAAAAAAGTTTTATCAGTTACACATTGAAACTCACTTTCTTTCACTACATCTTTTTCAGCACAGCATTTTATATCCTTTCTTTTTTTTTTTCTTTGCTAATGTGATATAGACTAAGTTGTACAACTTTCATTTGGTTTTCTTTTCTTTTGTTTTTGAGACAGAGTTTTTCTCTTGTTGCCCAGGCTGGAGTATAGTAGCGTGATCTCAGCTCACTATAACCTCCGCCTCCCAGGCTCAAGCAATTCTCTTGCCTCAACCTCCCGAGTAGCTGGGATTACAGGTGCCCGCCACCATGCCTGGCTAATTTTTTGTGTTTTTAGTAGAAGTGGAGTTTCACCATGTTGGCCAGGGTGGTCTTGAACTCCTGACCTCAAGTAATCCACCTGCCTCAGCCTCCTAAAGTGATGAGATTACAGGTGTGAGCCACTGCATCCAGCCAACTTTCATTTGTTAGTAAATCATATTAATAACAGGATTAAAACTATAAACCTTGATTAGGCTTACTTACAAATGTTTAATTCTTCCTCTTTAAGTTTTAAACTAAAGCTCCTTAGTGGTGATACACCACTTTTGTAGTAGAAAACTACTGTGTTACAGATGTCTGTCTAACAGTTTGTCTTATTGATTCAAGTTATTAACAGAATAAAGTATAAAAATTTTCTAGATTTGATTTTTCTCCTTCGTGCCATAGTTGGTTTAAATGCAAAATAAATAGTTTTTTAAGTGAAACTTTAATGTACATCTAAAGCCAAATAGAAACTTTTGGACAGATAAGAGTGAGCCTTTTTTAAAAAATTATTTTTATTAGTTACATATCCAAACTCATTAATGTTCCTGTGAAAAAGTAAAAGGTACAAAAAGTCATAATTAGCAGAAGTTAAATATAGGAATTTCCTCCTTTGATCTGCTTACAGTTTTGAAGTTCTGACAGTGAATTCAAGTGCTAACATTTAAAAATTATTTTTGTTTCAGGATGGTAGAACTGAAGGAAATGGTTTCTGATGTCAATCTCAGTTTTAATAAACTTTCATTTATATCCTTGGAGTTATGTATGCTTCAAAAATTGACTTTTTTAGATCTCAGGTATTTATTGATACTATTGCTTGACTTTTTAAAAAGTTGAAACTTGTCTTTGAGTTTTGCCTAACTTATTCCTTTTGCCTCATATTTTCCTAGGTATGTATGGAAACTGGCCTTTATTTATTAACAATAGTTTAGGAGAATCCTAAAATAGTGTTTAGGAAACCCAAGAAAGAATTTAGGAAGAATACTGTAATCAGACATTTATCATTTGTAAGCAATTTACAAGTTATGTGATAAGACAAAATTACTGAAAATATTAACCCATTCTAAGCAAAATTACAAATAACACATGGAAAGTATTTTCTTCACATTGTTTCTTTTCTGAAAGTAAATAGCATAAAACCAGCTGAGTGGGTTATTTAACACAACTTAATGCAGACAATAACTGGAGAAAAGTACAGAGAATATAGGTATAGAAAAAGAATATAGATTGTACTGTAGAAAGTATGACTTTTACATATTAGGCTTGACTTCTGAACACAAAGAAATAGGTTAGAGAAAAGTATTTATTTGTAATAGGTAGTCATCTAGTTGGGAATAATTTTCTCACAGGTATTTTCATTATTAGTAGTTATATTGGCTTTAAAATCCTTTTATCTTTTTGTTAACTTTTCTTCTAGCATTGCTCCCAGATCATTCCAACAGTAAATAAGATTTTCTTTATTGCCATGTTTCATTGTAAGAGCTAAAAAAAAAATAGTCATTGTGTAGATTTAAATTCTAAACTTAGGAATAGATTTGCCTTATACCTATGGAGAAGAAAACTCCAAATCTCTTAATAGAACTCTTTAACTTCCTGGTTCATTTTTAAAATAATTTTTAAATTCTTCTTAGAGTAGAATTTCATGTCTGTATCATATGTATTAACACCAATAAAATATTTATTTTATGTGGTATTATAGACATAGGGGAAATATTAAAGACCCCACTTTGAAGGAGTTAGTTTACAATGTTTACCACGTAATCACTATTAAACCTATAAAGAATTCATTGCATTATCAATTGGTTGCATATTGATATTATTAGGATTTGGCATACTAATCGAATAACTGCAGTAGGTGACTGATTCAGAATTCTCAGAACTCAGCCTTAATAAAGTCAGATCAAGGACTGACAAACTGATCTACATATTTTTTTTCCTGCTCAACATTTTAATTATAAATTAAATTTGTAAAATTTTTCAAACTTTGTGAATCATCTGTTTTGATTTCCAATTTAGGAACAATTTTTTAAATTCTTTGCCCGAAGAAATGGAATCACTGGTAAGACTACAAACGATCAATCTTTCCTTTAATAGGTAAGAGACAGAACAGACAATTCTAATTGTTATTCTGTGGAAATATGTAGATCTTTCTCATTGGAGAAAACAACTAAAAGCCAAATAAACAAAAAGGCCCCTTCTACTTTATTTCAATATCCAGATTTTATTTTCAGTTAGTTCTTCTTAGAGTTAAAAATATTATTTTCTTAGAATTCTCATAGTTGATGTCTAACATATTTTTTGTTTCTTTTTACCATTTTGAGAAACCTGTGGCCTAGAAAGACAAATATTCAAATAAATAATTACAGTTGCTCTAATGGAAGCATAGTGCAGGGGAAAATGTCTTCTGAGATTACTTCAAGATAGAGGAGATAGCATTGAAACCGAGGTTTGAAAAATAGACATTTGCCAGCCATTCAGGTAGAGAGCATTCTAGTTAGAGCAAATAGCATATGCCAAGGCACAAAGATGTGAGAACATATGGGATGTTTGGGAAACTTCAAGAAGTTCAGTGGGCTTTGGACAATCAAACAAGCAGGTAGAGGAATAGAAGGAACAGATAAAGGTTGGCAAGTAAGCAGTAGCCAGACCTTGAGCTTTTTATGCTCAACGAAACTTAGATTTTATTCTGCAAACACTATCAAGATACTGCAGATAATTAAGAGTAACATATTTATTGAGAAGAGCTTATTCTGCTGGTGCTGTACTAAGTACCTCACATGTAATAGCTCATGCTTACAAGAACCCTACATGATGGGTTCTGTTACTGTGTTCATTTAAAAATCAAGGATTAGAAGCTAAGTAACTCATCTAAGGTATGCATAAATAGTTAATTATACAGCTGAGATTTGAGTCCAGGTGGTTTGGCTCCAGAAGTTGGGCTCTTAACAACTATGTCACATTGTTTCTTATGATGAAAATGGATTCTAAAGACAATTTAATTAAAATATGAATAACTGGCCAGGTGCAGTGACTGACACCTGTAATCCCAGCACTTTGGAAGGCCGAGGTGGGCGGATCACCTGAGGTCAGGAGTTTGAGACCGGCCTGGCCGACATGGTGAAACTCCATCTCTACTAAAAATACAAAAAGTAGCCAGGCGTGGTGGTGGCCTGTAAACCCAGCTACTCGGGAGGCTGAGGCAGGAGAATCGCTCGAACCCCAGGAGGTGGAGGTTGCAGTGATCTGAGATTGTGTCACTGCACTCCAGCCTGGGCGACAGAGCAAGACTGTCTCAAAAAATAAATAAAATTTAAAAAATAAAATATTAACAGCTAATATTTAATGTAACCCAGATAATGTCCTAAGGTCTTCAAATATATTCATTTAATCCTTATAACAAGTGTATATGTTTAGTACTATTATTATTCCTCATTTATAGATGAGGAAGCTAATGCATAGTGATGTTAAAATATTGCTTATTTAAAATTTTCTTCTGTCTGCTCCATTACTTGTGCTTCCTAGTGTATAGATTGCACCATTATTGTCATTGTTTTAAAATATGTGCACTTCTCAGATCTCTCCTAAGTGTTACTTGTGAATTGAGCTATCAGTTTTGTATTGTGTTGTCAATTGAGCTAACAGTTGCCTTGCAAGTGATATTTTTGGGGAAGTGCCAAAAGCTAGCCTAAATTTCTGTGTTATCAGATAATTATCTTGTTCATGGGTTGCAGGGAGGGAAGAGAAGAGCCTACTAAGGGGTCATTTGGTCCATCTGTACTCTTGGCTATTGCTTCTCTAGTCTCACTGGAACTTCAGCACTGCTTTGAGTTTACACTTCACTGTTGCTTTTTTTCATCAAGGCAGCAAAGGAAGGGGACGGTATGCGGAAGTGAAAAGGCCAAAGCTCTCCTTTCCGACCCATTCTTGTATTTTCTAGTCAAGGCTGCAGTTTACCTTATGCTAAAACTGTGCTAGCCTTTCTCCCCTGCGGGGTCCTGAGCCATTTTTGAGTTAATTGCAAGTATAGATTTGAGAGCTGTTAGCCTTCCCATATCTTGTGGCATCTTCAGGGTTGCTTGGACAAGAAAGCCAGCAGTCTATGCTAATTTGCTGTCTTTTTAAGAACCCAAAGTGTACTCATTTTGGAAGCTTCAGTCAAAGCAAAATATAAATCTCAAATTTTACTTAATATATTGGGAGTGATTATGTTTCATAAGAAGTAAAAGTGAAAGGAAGAATACCTACATGGATACATTTAGAGAAGATTTCCTCTTCTCTTGAATGTGAACAGAGAAATATGGGAAAATTTACTCTGAACTTTTGCTGATTTTATACAATAAATGGTAAGTGTTACAAGTTTGTCTGCTTAACATGTATTTCAAGGTTTTCAAAATTAGCCATTTCTCTTTATTTTTTGTAAAATTCAAATAAAGGACTTAATGCCAATTACAGAATAACATAAACTAAAGAAAAAACTGTCATGTCAAATTTAAGATAATCTGTTTTAAGGAATGTTTTGATGTCTGATTCCAGTATATTTAGGTGTTCTGTTCATGTATTAATAGGTTTAAAATGCTACCTGAAGTTCTGTATCGTATCTTCACACTTGAAACAATTCTGATTAGTAATAATCAGGTTGGATCTGTGGACCCTCAGAAAATGAAGATGATGGAAAATCTGACCACGTTGGACCTTCAAAATAATGACCTTTTACAAATTCCACCAGAGCTCGGTAATTGTGTGAACTTAAGGTAACTACACCATTCTACTGCTTATTTCATTTATTTTATTGATTTATTGAAGTGATTTTTCTTTTTGAGATAAATTTGCAAGAAGTTAAAGTAACAGATTTAATATCCTGTTAAAAATAACAAGTAACAAAACCCAGAGTACCAATTCTGTTTTTCAAATTTTACCAAATGTATATTTTTAGTTTTGCTTATATGGTATATATGTAAATATAATAACGAATTGTTTCTAATGGCACTTTGCTTATCACTGTGTATGTTTATAACCTGAATCTCTACTGCGTGAAAATGTCAGGGAAATATTAACTCTTTAGCTTTGAATACAGGGTTTTTTTGAAATTGATTGCAGATTACCACCATTCTATTTCGAGCCCAGCATAGTCTTTCTCACTCTTTACATCTGCTGTTCCCTCAGCATCAGGTACTTTTACCCTGTTTTCATCAATAATTGGCCTATTGAATGTCACCTTTGAAAGCGTTCCCTGTCCTCCAAGCAGAATTAGTCCCTAACCTGATTTCCCGTCATGCTTCATGTGGACTTATTTATACGATTTTTGGGTCTTTCTTTGGAAAAGAGTTGTCCCAGTGCCTAAAACATAGTAAACATGCAGTAAGTGCTTATTAAGTGAATATAAAGGAGGTTTGAGATGTCAACAGAAAACCAAGTGGTTAAGCAGAATAGTCAGGAGTAATTTAATTGCTGAAAACTGCATATTAATGATTCGGTATATTTTCCTTCACTGGGGCAACACTGGTATCTGCTGTAGTACCTCATATTAGTAAGTTATAGGAGACAAATACAGTTGATTCTTATTCTTTGTGGCAGTTATGTTCTATAGACACTCTGAACACCCTGTTAGTGAATACTGACCTATTGCTGGGAAATACAGGGATTAGGTTCTTGCAAGAGTCTAGTCACAACATTTTCAGCAACCAATCAATATATAACTTTGTTATATATGTGTTTCTGTAGCAAGATACTTCATTTAATATTATTGTCATGTCATTAACATTGAAATCATGGCCAACAGCACTATAATTCATGCCTGAACAAAGCTTACCTGACACATGTTATTTTTTTCATAATCCCATTTGTCCTTAGGAAGACTAGACAGTACTTTAGCATTACACTTGGTGACCATTTAACACAGTGAAAACACCAACAAAGGTATGAAAATTTGAAGTGTGGCACTAAATGAACCACCAAAAAGGACCCGTTTACAGTATAAGAGCTGAAACAAGGGCCGGGCGCGGTGGCTCAAGCCTGTAATCCCAGCACTTTGGGAGGCCGAGACGGGCGGATCATGAGGTCAGGAGATCGAGACCATCCTGGCTAACATGGTGAAACCCCGTCTCCACTAAAAATACAAAAAACTAGCCGGGCGAGGTGGCGGGCGCCTGTAGTCCCAGCTACTCGGGAGGTGAGGCAGGAGAATGGCGTAAACCCGGGAGGCGGAGCTTGCAGTGAGCTGAGATCCGGCCACTGCACTCCGGCCTGGGCGACAGAGCGAGACTCCATCTCAAAAAAAAAAAAAAAAAAGAGCTGAAACAAGAAGACAAAGCATCACCTTGTTCAACCTCACCTGGGAACATGCCCGTGGGGTGACTCAAATTTTTTGTTCCTCCCTGCATGTTTATGAATGATCTCGGAAGTGCCACACATATTGATTTGGGGGTTACAAACTTTAGTGAGTAGGCAAGTTTGCAAATACAGCACCCACAAATAATGAGGATCAACTGTAATCAACTTTTTTCTAGAAATTAAGAAAATAAGTCTTTAAAAGAATTCCCAAGAAACAGAAATATTTGAAGATATAATTTAGATCAACAATATGGTGTGAGTCCTTTGATTTTTATTTATATAAACACTTAACTTAAAAAGTAATATAAAAGCCTCTCTTAACTGAAGATATTTTATTATATAATGAAACAAAAGAAGCTTTTAAATCTTAAGTTGAACTCTCAGATCATGTAAATAGATTTATATATGTATATCTGCTCAAAGGAGGGAGAGAGCAGAATGTGTTAATGTTTTGGGGAGGCAAGGGGTGGAGCAGTGGTGGTGATACATTGGTTACATTACAGTCCTTGGCTTGGATGACTCTTGCTGATATTTGTTTAAATCTTACTTGATCATTTAGTATATAGTCATTTAATAAGATTGAGAGGGCTGGATAAAAGGGGAGTTCAAATCACAACTCCACCATTTAGTAGCTGTTTGATCTTAGACAATATATCTTCCCTAAATTTGTATTTCCTCATCTATTAAAATAGAACTATTAATGGCACTTACATCATAGGATTGTTGAGAGAGTAGGATTGTTAAGAGTTAGTGAATATAAATTACTTGGCTCAGTACCTTTCACAAAGTCAGTATTCAATTAATATGTTTTGGGTTATTAATTAGTTATAATTCTAATGTTTAAATGCTCAGATTTGAAAAGGGGCAAATAGCCCAAGCATGGTGGTTCACGCCTGTAGTCTCAGCACTTTGGGAGGCTGAGGCGAGCAGATTACTTGAGGCCAGGAGTTTGAGACCAGCCTGGCCAACATGGTGAAACCCCCTCACTACTAAAATTACAAAAATCAGCTGGGTGTGGTGGCACACACCTGTAATCCCAGCTACCCGGGAGGCTGAGGCATGAGAATTGCTTGAACCTGGGAAGTGGAGGTTGCGGTGAGCTGAGATTGCACCTCTGCACTTCAGGCTGGGCAACAGAGCAAGACTCTGTCTCAAAAAAAAGAAATAAAAATTAAAAGGGGCAAATAGAAAAAAAAATACACAAATTTTATTTGTAAAATTGCAAATGAAATTAGATGAAAAACCTTGTTAATGGAAAATGTTTACATTCTCAGTTTCTCTCTTTTGTTTAGAACATTACTTCTGGATGGAAATCCATTCCGAGTTCCTCGAGCAGCCGTATTAATCAAAGGAACAGCTGCTATACTTGAATATTTGAGAGACCGAATTCCTACTTAACATGGAGTTGCTTTATAACCCTTGTCATGTATTATTAACCCTGGTTAATTCTAAGGAGGATATAACATTTGTTTTAGTATCATCTTAAAAAATGATTGCTATAATTGATCTTGTAGTTTCCCAGTATCACCTACCCGTTGGTATAATTAGCCTGGGCCATATTCACTGCCAGTAAATATTTTTACATTTTTATTTAAGATTTTTGTAAGGTGTTGTATACATTTGTAATGGTGATAACCACAAAGTGTTCATACATTTGTTCTAAATGTTTTGCATAGGATTTATCCTACTAACTTTCATTTTCTTATAGCAAGCAATTTCTTCAAAAGTGAATTTTTGTTTAATGTGGTTTAGTATTATAATAACAAAGCATTTTTGTAGAACTGGTTTTTTTTCTCATTTCTTTTTGTATTCCATACAATGTGACCAATTGACTTGAATATGACTAGCCAGTTTCTATGTTTTTGTTAGATATAAAATTAAATCGAATTTTGTTGAATGCTGTTCTTCGGCATTTAAAAAATAAGACCTCATCTTGGGCCACATGTCAAAAGAAAAAGGAAACAAAAATATATTAAAAGTAAGACTTTTCATTACCCATGATAGGACTTTTGTGATGTGACTAATCTCAGTACACATTTCAACTTAAAACCTTTTTATTTACAGCACCATAATTTTAAAATTTACTTGCAATCTTGGTAAGACTAAACTTGCACTATTTTTCTAAAAGGGAATTTGATATAGATAAACTTGATTTAATAAAAATTAAATATCATTTTTGTTTACACCAAAATTATCAGAAATAGGTTGATTAGTCATTATAACACCATATGATTCTATTAAGTCAATTCAGTAGCATGTATATCAATTTATATAGATAGATAGATAGCTTTTGGATGATTGAGGCATGCTTATATTATGAAAAAAATTGCCAATAAAGATAAATACTACATGTTCAGAATAAAAGTTACATTTTTCAAATATTGATTACAATGTTTATGTTTTTGTTTTAAAAAACATGCCTTTTCAGCTGGCCTTGGTGGCTCACGCCTGTAATCCCAACACTTCGGGAGGCTGAGGCGGACAGATCACTTGAGGTCAGGAGTTCAAGACCAGCCTGGCTAACATAGTGAAACCCCATCTCTACTAAAAATACAAAAAACAAAACAAAACAGAACAAAACTACCCGGGCATGGTGCGTGTGCCTGTAATCCCATCATCTTGGGAGGCTGAGGCAGGAGAATCACTTGAACCCAGGAGGTGGAGGATGACAGAGTGCCGAGATCGCGCCAGTGTACTCCAGCCTTGGGTGACAGTGAAACTCCATCTCAAAAAAATATAAAAACAAAAACATGTATTTTTCTTATTACAACTCTGTTGCTGACTACGAGGTCTGCTTTGATAGTAAACAAAAGACACTTTACAATAAGGTGACATTTTATTATTTATACAATAAGGAGACTTTTATGTTATTCAAAACACTTTTTTAAATACTGAAAAAGTTGAGTACACCAAAGCCGAAAAATGGCTCTGCTATACACTGCACAGCATTATTTTAGTCCCTGTATTTTGTATCTGTACAGAAAGCATCTTCAAAATGCATTCTAATCACATTGTACACCTTTACCAATTAGTGTCAATACATAAAATAAAACTTGAGAATACAGCTTGCATTTGCAAATTAACTGACAAAGTAATTAATTTCACTGGTTCAGTAAATTTAAAATATAGTTTCATAGGACTTCTTTGCACATAAAATGAAGCAGCTTTCAAGGTTGTTATGGTCTCATACTGCAAAAAAACCAGTAAGTACATTCACGATCTATGTTAATAAAGTAGTAAATATGTCTTCATTCAGTTTTATTTACATCAATATGTAGTTCAACTAAAAAGTACTTTTAATTGTGATATAGTAGTCTTTTTAACACATACAAAAATGACAATTTTTTATATATAATTTAAGCTCAAAATCACAATTATCTCAAAATATTAATTACAATACAGCCATTTCAGTTAAACATGTTGTGATTTAATTTTTTTTATAAAATGGTAAAATTGTATTATTAAAGTAAGCAATTTGTTTTGAATTGGCTAGAGTACACCCAAGTAGAAAACCTTAAATGTTAAGAGGTGTTTCCTGCCCCCTCCCACCCGAATTTGTATACAGCCACCTAGGCTAGCAAAGAGACAGAAAAGGCCCCAATTTATAAAGATTAAGCCTCTTTTGCTATACTGCTGTGGCTTGTTGGTTCTTCCATAAAAGCTTTACAAGGGGAGTGTCAATAAACTATGCAGTGAAATGCATGCATTAATATACAATATGTCTATGTAAAATGTCAGTGTTTACTATTGCACATAAAAGATTCACAAAGACTGCAAAAAAAGTCATAAAGAAGCACTTTCTCTACCAGTCGAATATTGTAAATTTGAAAACGACTTGATAATATAATGGGATTTCTTTGAAATCCGATCCCAATTCAAGTTCTTTCTCTGGGTAAAGGAGCTCTGGTTACTTGGCCTTAAGATGTCACTGTTGTGCTGCACATATGGTAGTGAAGTCAGGTATCATTAAAAAAAAAAAAAAGTCTAGAGACTATCTTCATTTTACTAAAATAGTGACCCAAAGTTGGATCACTGCTTAGGAATTTTTCTTAAACTTACAGAAGAGTGAAATATTTCACTAACTGAATTATATGACCTGAAATGAGAAAAGGAAAATTTGTGTGTGTGTGTTTGGCATATGGGAAAATACCAATTCATATAGGTAGAATTAGAACTTCTTTATAGAGCAGTAAAAGGATTATGCCCCAAAATAACTGAGGTCAAAAGTAATCAATTATCAAATAGTTTAGGAAAAAATAATTTTCATAGATACTTAAAAAACATCCAAAACATAATATCTAGTATCCTTTTACATATAATTTTTAAGAAACCATCTGAAAACCTACCACTGTCTTCCTTCAGAATTGCTTATGTTAGTTTAATATTTATTTTGTGAATAGAAAGAGCCTAGTTCATGTTATGGTTTTCTTATATATACCTGGTTGGGGAAGCCCTTGGGCAGTTACAAAGTGGAAAAAATAAAACTGTAGTACTTTCAATAACCGACAGTAATCTTGCAGTCATCTCACTTTTTTCAAGGTCTTTTGTGGTGGTCTTTAAAATTTACAAACAGAATTTGGTAGATTTACTTCTAATTTTCCACTAGTAAAAAATTTCTTCTTCATATGAAGACAATGTCATTATCTTTAAGCTTCCTTTAGTCCCTACTGAGTACAAAGAGAAACTTGATTGGCTCTTCAGACAAAAACTGCCTGGTTTATCTATCAATTACCTTTCTCTTCATTTCAAACAGAAAATAGGCTTGCATTTTCAAGGATGAAAGTATACTTGAGGATGTTCAAGAGAAATGCCCAAACATTATAAAGCCGAAGTATTAAGCATTCATTGCATTCCACTGACGCTAGGTGTCATCAAAGCTAAAACCAAATTTTCTAGAGTAAAACTTAACATACAACAGTCCTTACTGACCTGAACCAGATGCCTTTTCCACATTCAAGACAAATAGAGTCCTCTGAGTGGAAAGACTGTAAGTGTTGAAAATAAAAATTATTTCAACAATATATTCTGAAAATCAGTGACCTTTCTAGCAGATATGGGAGCTGCTTTATGTTGTCTGCCTGAGAGTTTCATCTTGCTTTTCCTATGGACTTTCCAAAAAAATTACATAAGATTTCCTGACTAAATAAGACACATTCTTTAGTAGAGGGTTGGGGAAGGGTAAGAGGAATGGAGAGATATAAAGAAATACAATGTGATTTCTTTTGTCCATTTGTCAAATGCTTTCCTTAAGCTATTAAAAAGGTCAATTGACCTGCATACCTGGGCATTATTTAACCTCATTATTTTAGCTGTGCAAAACAAATGTGCAAAGAAAAACACCTCCTATGTATGTGTGCCTGTACATAGACACAAAACCTGAGTCACAATAAAAGTTTTTAATATAAGAAAGCTTTTCTTAATATAGGAAAATAACCTTTAAAGAGCCAAAAATATCTTTGTATAATATAAGCAGCTAACTTTAAAACTTCCATGTACTTAAGTATCACATATTTTATAAGATCTAGCAAAAAAGGATCACTTACATTTGATAATTTTCTTAAGTATAGCTGAGATAACCACATTTTTATTTCTAACATGTATTTTCATTCCCCTGAATTCATTGATTTTTTTTTTTTTTAAAGCACATTCACACAAGTCCTGTTTAATTTCTGACAAACAGTTCCTGCTTGTTTCTAGATATTGAGGACATAGGAGATTTAGGATTGCTAGGCCTATAATTTACTGCCAAGTCGCAATGGAATTCCAAAGTTCAAAACAAAATATGTCATTTTATTAAGAGAAACATTATTTGCAAAAATATTTGTAGACAGAGTTGGGCCAAAGTCTGCATGAAGCTATTCTCTCATTTGCAGGCTCCCTTTCTACTGTTAACTCTTAACCTTTTCTTTCTCCATGCTCCATTTCTTTATTTTTAGGTAGCCTTCATACCTTTTTCATACTTGAACCCTGAATGGTCCCAACTGAACGAAGCTCCCTTGCTCATATGCAGCTACCAGTTACAATGTCCTCTTTTCTTACCTACATCTTTGTTAGCTCTTCCTCTTTATGAGCTTAGAACTCTGGGATGACTCCTTGGCCTCTCCTCCTCTGCCACTTAACTACTCATTAGGGGAAAATCTGCTTGAATGTTCCATTGCCTTATTAGACACTGATTTAAGGCTCAATTCAGGACATACTTATTCCCTGGGCTACACCTTAGATGCTAACTGAGGAAAGTTTATAGAAAAATGACTGAAAGTTGCTTCTCGATGCTGCTCCCAGTGGTCCATGTCATTAATTATGCATTTATGTCAGTTAAGTTGCTGATACTTAGGGAGAAGGGAAAGCCGTCTGAACCAAAATATTCAGTCTTTGCAGCTGTGATTGGACAGGAGGGCCTTTGAATACTTGGATCAGTAGTTAAAGAGATACTGGGCAGGGCCCTTGAATGCTTTTTTTCTCAAGCCTAGTTTAGGAATAAGGTGGAAAATGCATGCGAGAGAGTAAAGGATTAGAGGCATTAGCCAAGGGAACTGTAGTCAATTCCTGACTTTTTATATGATACTTGCCTGAGGATCACCAGAAGGATTTTGTCCTGTGCAGAAGACTAAAAGCAGAGTCATACTTTCTCTGCCAACAGACTTGTTGCCATGGGAACCAGTGCAGAAAAATGAAAATGTGACAAGAAGCCAAGGATTAAATGTAGAAAATTGATAGGGAGTTGATTTCTACATGGCAATTTAAGCATTGAAGATTTAAAGAAACAGGATATTCCTTATGTGGCCAGATGAATGAAAATGGACAAAATGACTTGCCAGTAGCTGGCCCTAGAAGGCTGACGTGTGAAAAATGCAGGGAGAAAGTAGTAAGCATGCTGTAGTTTGGATAAGGGGAACTCTGTAAAATCTAACTCCACTCCTGATGAGGTTAAGCTTCCAGTCCAAATGTTAAAATTAACCGTAGGATCAAATATACCCTTTGGAAAGGCATGCCCATATTTAGCTTGATAAAAGCGGCCTGATGTAACAATTCTCTTTTCACCTTTCCAAAACCAGCACATACTACTCGACAAGATTATTGCATATCTAGTTTATTATTGCTTGATGCATCTTTTCAAATACTCAAAAACAAAAAAACCCACCATTTGCAAATCTATGCCTCCCTTCCCCCAATAAGGCAGCTATTGTAAGTAACCTAGAATTAAGTTTCTCATTAAGGAAATAATGATTTTACTTCACGTGATACAAGTCCTCCTTGTGTACCTTTTTTTGTCATTCAGTCAGTACTTAATAATAAACTGATCTGGTAGGATTCCAGGAAAACTTTTAACAAGGATTTGGAGTTTCAGCCTAATCTGAGAAGGACTTACATGTTGTATTTTCAGA